TAGATAGATAGATAGATAGATAGATAGATAGATAGATAGATAGATATGACAGACGGTAGATAGATGGATAGATAGATGTAGACAGGTAGACTAGATAGATAGACAGAGAGACAGGTAGGTAGGTAGGTAGATAGACAGACAGATAGACAGACAGATAGACAGACAGACAGATAAAGAGAGAGAGGGGGCAGAGAGGTGGTATTCAAGGTTCTGACCGGTTCTGGAGAACCGGTAGCAGACATTTTGAGTAACTCAGAGAACCGGCAAATCCCACCTCTGACTGTCCCCGCCTCTATCTATTCTCTGCCTCTGGAGTCCCAGCTGATTAGCTGGGTCTTCTTTTGTTACCCTGCACAGGAGGACAGAGCTGGAAAGCAGGTTAGTGGGGTAGGGAGGAATGGGACTTTGCAGTAACCTTCCCCTGCCACACCCACCAAGCAACACTACGTCACGCCCACCAAGTCACGCCCACAAAACTGGTAATAAAAATGCTTGAATCCCACCACTGCTACAACCCAGACACCAGCATTTCTGTTGGATATCTTTCTTCCATTTTAGCTGTAAATGCCTCTGAATCTATGGCTGCCCCTAATGTGCCTTGAGCTTTTGGATTTGAAGAGGCATTTATATGTTGGTTAAACGTTTTGCCATCTTTCTCTCAGAGTTTAAGGCAGATGTCACTTTATTTGATCTCCATAACACAGCAACAGAGGTGGCATTCAGCAGGTTCTGACCAATTCTGGAGAACCGGTAGCGGAAATTTTGAGTAGTTCAGAGAACCAGCAAATCCCACCTCTGACTGTCCCCGCCTCTATCTATTCTCTGCCTCTGGAGTCCCAGCTGATTGGCTGAGTCTTCTTTGGTTGCCCTGCACAGGAGAACAGAGCTGGAAAGCAGGTTAGTGCGGTAGGGAGGAATGGGACTTTGCAGTATCCTTCCCCTGCCACACCCACCAAGCCATGCACACTAAGCCACATCCACAGAACCAGTAGTAAAAAAAATGAATCCCACCACTGATAGATAGATAGATGATAGATAGATAGAGATAGATAGATGATAGATAGATGATAGATAGATAGAGATAGATAGATGATAGATAGATGATATAGATAGATGATAGACAGACAGATAGACTAGCTGACTGATTGATTGACTGATTAGTTGCCATCAAGTCAGTATCAATTCTTAGCAATTTTATAGATCAGGGGTCTCCAACCTTGGAACTTTAAGCCTGGCGGACTTCAACTCCAAGGAAAGCTGGCTGGGGAATTCTGGGAGTTGAAGTTCGCCAGGCTTAAAGTTGCCAAAGTTGGAGATCCCGGGTATATTTCTCAACCGCCTCAGCTTTAAGATGTGTGGACTTCAATTCCCAGAATTCAGTTGCTGACTGGGGAGCTCTGGGAGTTGAAATCCACACATTTTAAAGCTGAGGAGAGTGAGAACCATTGACGTTGATCATAGATCATCGGAGTCTTTGGTGCTCTCTGAGCTTGGTGGGAGGTTTGTTGTGGGTTTTTTTTGCAGATGTTTCATTACCTAACCAGATAATGTCATCAATGTTAGTATGAGACCTTTGCAAGAAAACAGCCAAGCTCAGAGAGCACCACGGTTCAACCCTGAGTCACAAACATTCTCTTCTGTTGTATCATAGATCTCCAGAATGATAACTCTCAAACTAGACCTTCAGCTCTCCCAACGGTGCCCCCTCTGTCACTAATATGTCAACAGATCTAGAAAACAAAATATATCAAATACATCTGAACATAGCTGGAGAAAATGGAAGCTTGGCCCATTTTGCTGAGTCTTAGCAATAGAGGTAGTCCTCAACTTACAACGTTTAGAGACTGCAATGTTACAACGGCATTGATAGAATAGAATAGAATAGAGTAGAGTAGAGTAGAATAGAATAGAATAGAATAGAATAGAATAGAATAGAATAGAATAGAATAGAATAGAATAGAATAGAATAGAATTCTTTATTGGCCACGTGTGATTGGACTCACAAGGAATTTTTTCTTGGTGCAAATACTCTCAGTATACATAAAAGAAAAGATACATTTATCAAGAGTCAAGAATCATCAGGTACAACACTTAATAATAGTCATAGGATTCAATAAGCAATCCAATCATACTAGGAAACAGTCAATATAAATCGTAAGGATACAAGCGACAAAGTTACAGTCATACAGTCACAGGTGGGAGGGGATGGATGATAAGGAGTGATGAGAAGATTAACAGTAATAGTAGTGCAGACTTTGTAAATAGTTGGACAATGTTGAGGGGATTATTTGTTTAGCGGAGCGATGGCGTTCGGGGAAAAAACTGTCCTTGTGTCTAGTTGTTCTGGTGTGCAGTGCCCTATAGCAGTGGTTCTTAACCTGGGCGATGTTGCCCTTCAGGGGGCGATTTCATTTTTCAGGGGGGCGATGGAACGAAAAGTTTTGGGGACACTTTTGAGACTTTTTTTGTACAGTGAACCACTGTATATCTGTTGTACAAAAACATCAGATCGCTCACTATTAGTGGATTGAACTGTGTTTTAAAATGTTCCTTTAGCTAGCTTCAGTATAGAACGCTGTGCATATGTGAATTCGCATCGCTCATCTTCATGCGCGTTGCGCAGCAGCCTCTATCACTCTACCCATTAAATTTGTCGCTCTGATTTTTCTTGCTTTCCTTCTGTAAAAATTTTCTTTGTGTCTTTTTAACCCTTTTTACAGTGTGCGTGAATATATATTTTCCTCAAATCTTAATTTAGTTTCAGAGTTTTCGTCTTGAAATTCTTAGTTCCTTGCATTGCGGTTTGTTCTTATGTCCTTTCTATATTTCTTTTTGCGTCTTAAAATTCACTTGTAATTAAATGTTACTGTTTTTTCAGGCATTTCATTTTCTTGCAATTGAATTTTGTTTTCAGTAGTCGTTGCATTTAAGTGTCTTGAATAAATAAGATAATAATGAAATACATGTATAACGAAGTTTGGGAGTAAAGTGATGGGTGGCATCAGAATTTTTCACACAGTTGAGATATGGGAAAAAGACTGGGAATAAATTATTTGCATCGCTATGTCCTGATGACAATTTTAAAGAAAACAAAAAACTTGCTTGCATAAATTGAAGAATTATTTCCCTGTGTTGTGATTGAGAGGTTATATTGGGAGAGAGGGGCGATGATAACTCCCTCAATGGCTCAAGGAGGTGATTCTTTCAAAAAGATTAAGAATCTCTGCTCTATAGCGTCGTTTTGAGGGAAGGAATTGAAGCAGTTTATATCCGGGATGTGAGGAGGTCTGTAGATATTTTCACAGCCCTCTTTTTGACTCGTGCAGTATACAGGTCCTTGAATGAAGGCAGGTTGGTAGTAATTGTTTTTTCTGCAGTCCTAATTATCCTCTGAAGTCTGTGTCTGTCCTGTGACTTATGGGACTTATGACTGTTTTTCACAATTTTGATCGTTTCATCATCCCCATGGTCACATGATCAAGATGCAGATAGCTGGCAACTTTCGGCCTTCAGTGCCGAAAAGGTTCACTAACACCGGTGTAGGGTCTCCTGCTTGGGGGGGGGGGGTTGGACTAGATGACCTACAAGGTCCCTTCCAACTCTGTTAATGTGTAAATCTGTAAACTGTCATATTTATGACGGTTGCAACATCCCAGGGTCACATGATCCCCTTTTTGCGACCTTCAGACAGGCAAAGTTAATGGGAAAGCCAGATTCCCTTTACAACCATGTTACTAACTTAACAACTGCAGTGATTCACTTAACAACCGTGGCAAGAAGGCTTGTAAAATGGGGGGAAATGCACTTAACAAGCGTCCCGCTCAGCAACTGAAATGTTGGCTTCAATTCAGTTGTGGCCATAAGTCAAAGGACTTCATGTACATTGAACCACAAAGTAACTTGGAGATTAGAAACAACCAAGATTGAATAAACCAAGAACAAGCCAAGTTCTTTTTTTATTTTTTATTTTTAGAAATACTTTATTAAAGTTCAAGATGTTGAAAAGTTTACAAAAAGCAAAATGTTAAAAAGCTTTACAATATAATTTTTGTAATCGAAATTATATCGACATCTTTCAATATCATTTTTTTGGCAGCACACTAAGTACCATGTATACACTTAGAATTTTACAGTTTGTTTTCTTTCATATTAATTCACAGTTCTTAATTAATGTTAATAAACAAAGCTATATCATCTTTATAGGTCACTAATTCAAGTAAAAAGGGAAGAAAAGAGAAAAAAGAATATCATATTGACACTTAATATATGTATATATATATCTAAAACAAACATCAAGGGCATTTATAGACTATGTGCTATAGTTTAATATTCCGTAGGTATGGGAGGAGGAAGGGAACACATTTTTATCATTCATTATTGCATATTTCTATATATTCCTACAGTATATCTAGGTAATTATAAATCCTATTCTGGATGTCTATCTAAATCTCGCTTTTTTTCCCAGCAGTTCCTCAATTTCTATAACTTCTCCCTCATCCTATCTGTTTGCTAGCATTCCAATTTTATTTCCTTTTTTTTTTCCTCCTTTTTAAATTCCTTTTGTAGAACAAGCCAAGTTCTGAGCACA